GAGAAAACAGTCGGCAAAGAATTCTGTTAGGTTAAAAAACATTTCGCTAAAAAAATAACGAATTCTAAAAGAAATAAAAATAAACAACTTAAAAAATATAAATGCTGTTGCCAGCCATAGAATTTTTTGAAAGTTAACTTAGCAACATAAATCAAAATGATATAGAAGCGCAACCAGATCAAAATTATGATACCTGAGCGCTTGACTTAACAAATCCTTCAATTCTATAAGTGTTGTATCGCCAAATGCCCAGATTAACAATTGTGTTTTTAAAGAAATTTTATAAAAAGTTTTAAATAAAAAAACTTCTATCCAGCTACTTCTACAACTGCTTCTTGAAGAATATTGTTTTAATTATACAGTACTAACTTTACTTCTATTTACATTATTGCTATGACCCTCCTTCATTACATTTTACAACTTCATGCTAAATTTGAGGATTTCAAGTTGTTTTGTGGTTGAATACTGACATTTAGAAATGTGTACATAAAAGAAATAATATTTAGAGGTAAAGAGTTGCCTCAGAAAAATTTGAATTGTTGACACTGAATTTAATAATGGAAACAATCGTGGACGAGCGCCAGCGAGCAGGGGGCGAAGCCTCCTAGTAACAGTATAATATACAATAATGTAAAAATTTGACAGAATAGTTTGAAATGATGCAAATATTATATATGTCTTACAATTCAAATATTTTCTAATCACAATTAAAATAAATGGTGAAAAGTAATAATATTTATTTCTTTATTTTTTTGAGCAGAATTATTTTCGAAGAAATGATATTTATAATTGAGCGCAAAAGTGTTTGAAATACGTTAGTAAAAACAAAATATTAATATTAAAAGGTCCAATTAAATCGCACTCCTCACTAAACTAATGAAACTCACTAAAATATTATAATTATTATACTATTCCTCACTAATATTAATTATTTTATTCTATTGTATAACCGCCGTTGAACAGCCGACCCAATATTATGGATTTGCAACTAATAATGTTGAACTCCGTAGCCTTGTAATTTTGAACCCAATCCAGAAGACAAGGGAACTCCTGGATCGAGTATTGGGAGAAATTTGCCTTCGTGGAGGACTTTTTGATGAAACTAACCCGTATTTACGTTTCATGGAGAGCAAGACCACGAGATCCTTCCACGGTTATCCTGGCGGCAAGGGGACTCTAACCCATGATCCGTCTATCACTAAGGATATTTCATGTCTGCACTGTGGTCTGTGCAAGCCGGATGCGGAATTCGTATCGACTGGGATTCGAACCCGGTTCACCTCATTGGAAGGCGAACGCTCTATTCTCTGAGCCATTGCTGCTTAATATTAATTATTATTATTTGTCCAATTACAAGCTCTACTCACAGAACTATATCTCCTCACTAACCATCTTTCCCAATAATTGAGTGCTCCCCCCATGCCCAATATTTTCAGTCAGAGTACTCCGTTCATTCAGATATTATATGTTTTTGGGTCGGATTTCACTATATCTCCTATACTACTTAATCATCTTTTTTAAAGTTAACACCCCAAACCATTAAAATTGTCTGCCAGAAGATAAGTGAAAATCCAATCATTAGATCAAAAGACATTTTCGTGTTTCATTTTTGATTTTGTACTTATAAAATATGTGATTTGCAGAATGGGCTAATTAAAATTTATACATGTCTGAATAAAAATAGTATCCAAAAAACAACTGTTGTAGATTTTGCGATAGGCTTTAAAAAAGCTAATACTCTCAATTTATTCACAAGGTACAAAGGTATGGTTATTTAAATATATGTTATAAAAATGTACCTTTATATGTACAGTTCCTCTTTCTTCAAAAGTATAACCACCTAATTTTAGCAACATTTGTCTGAATGATTCACTGCAATGAATACGAAGTGCTGCAAGGAGAAAAAAAAAAGAATTGTTTAATTGAAAATTTTAAATTGTGATTTACGTAACACCAAATTAACATAAGTTAGGTAAATTGAGGTTAAAGTAATTAGATAAGAATTTTCGAAAATTGAAATGTAACAAAAGAAAACAAAACAATAGGACCTAAGAATTCCAAAAATGTTTCAAATGCTTACATAAAAGGTAAAAAAAAATGTCAAACTTGCTTCTGTAAAAATAAAACCTAGAGTAACAAATGCATTTGTATTAAGATAAAAATACATTTTTGCCACTGTTCCATTTAGGGGTAAAATTTGTTTTCTTTTTACTTTAACTTAATTTAATTATTTGAAGAAAAAAAATTCTTAGAATATGTTAAATGATTAAACAATACGATTTGGGGGAAAGAAAGTCTCCAATGAAAAAAAAAAAAAAAAAAAAAAAAAAAAAAAAAAAAAAAAAAAAAAAAAAAGGAAATAAATAAAAGCTAAATTTCCCGAAATAGCAAATTTAATTGAATCGATGAGTTCGGAAGCAAATAATATGCAGTGAATTTCAAATCAATATGGCTTGTTTTCAGACTCATTGATTAAATTAGATTTTTATTGTACAATTTTATACATATTTAAATATTTACGAAGACCACTTGATTCCATTCTCGATGCTGTATTCACCGTGTCACCAAATAGACAATATCTTGGCATTTTCTTCCCAACAACTCCAGCGCATACAGCTCCTGTAGAACACATTAATCTATTACTCAGATGGGTCAAAACTATAAACAAGATATACAAATAAGATAAATAAATTCTGATGTTTGTTTGCGTATGTTTAATGAAACGCAATATATATATTAATTTTTTTATCTTAGGATAATTATTCTTTATTCAGAAATATCACATTATACCAATAGATGTGTCTTGATAACGACTATTAGCTTTCCCATTTTTAGTTTCTCTTTATATTAATTTTTATTTTATTATTTGTATATATATATATTATTATATATATTATTATTATTATTATTATTATTATATTA